GAAAACCCCCCCCCCCTTTATCCAAACTTGCCTCACGTACCACCTTAATTCGTAATCTTGAAGTTCAAATAGGGGAAATCTCTCAAGCTCTTAATACTTGTCCTAAGGGTGCACTACCAAGTGATACGGTAGTAAACCTAAAGGGTGGTAATAACACAGGACATGCTATGGCGGTTATCACAAAAAGTAGAAGAGGCGGAAATGCACCCACCTCAATTGAAAAGCGACTTATGGATGATGACCAAGTGATCCAAGAGGAGGAAGTCCCAATCAATGATTTTCAAGCAAGTGATGAGGTTCGGATTGACACTGAAGATAGTGTGGAGGAGACTCAAAAAGAGGTGAACCCATCTAGGGATCACATTATTGACATATCAGAGCCGGTAGTGAAAAAGGCTAAGGAACCCTTGCCTAAGCCTCCACCTCCTTATCCTCAAAGACTTGCCAAGCAAAATGGTGAGAATCAATTCAAGAAGTTTATTCAAATAATAAAAAGTCTCTCTATTAATGTACCATTGGTAGAAGCTTTGGAACAAATGCCCCATTTGCCAAGTTTATGAAAGATCTTGTGACCAAGAAAAGGTCGATGAATTTTGAAACTATCAAAGTAACTCATCAAGTGAGTGCAATTGTTTATTCTATGGCTCCTAAGTTGGAGGATTCCGACGCTTTCACGATTTCTTGTACTATTGGGAGTACCAATTTTGCTAAATCTCATTTTGATCTTGGGGCGAGTATCAATTTAATGCCCTAATCGATGTTTAAAAGTTTGGGAATTAGGAACCAAGACCCACATCTATGTGGTTGCAAATGGCCGATCGTACCATGAAGAGGCCGCTGGGAGTGATTGAGGATATTTTGGTTCGAGTTAATAAGTTCATTCTTCTGGCGGACTTTGTTATTCTAGATTGTGAGGCTGATTATGAAGTGCCTATTATTCTTGAAAGACCTTTCCTTGCTACGGGTATGCTCTTTGTGATGTGGAAGCGAGAGAACTCACTTTCCGGGTTGGTGATAAAAAAGTGGTATTTCAAGTTTGCAAATCTACGTGGCAACCAAATAGCAATGAAGTGTGTTCTTTTTTGGACTTGGTGACCAATGTTATTATTGATGAAAAAAGTGTTACAATCAATGTTGGTGATATTTTGGAAGTCGTTTTGCTCAACTTCTATGATGATGAGATGGATGGTTTCATGGAATGTGTGAACTCTTTGCAAGGAATGGGTTCGTACAACTATGAACCATGGAAATTATCTTTGGATCATGAAAATAGGAAGACTCCTCCTACAAAGCCTTCTATTGAAGAGCCACCTAGTTTGGAGTTGAAACCTTTTCCACCACACCTTTGGTATGAATTTCTTGGCCCTTTCTCTACTTTACTGGTTATTCTTTCCTATTATTTGACTAACCTGTAGATTGATTCCACATAGGCTGCGTTGCAAAAGAGAAAGAAAGCTATTGGGTGGACTTTGGCGGACATTCGGAGTATAAGCCCCGCATTTTTCATGCATAAGATCAAGTTGGAGAATGGATCTAAACCGTACATTGAACATCAAAGAGACTCAACGAAGCTATGCAAGTAGTGGTCAAGAAGGAGAATATCAAGTGGTTGGAAATCGGGGTTTTCTACCCAATTTCTGATAGTTCATAGACCTCTTCGGTTCAATGTGTCCCAAAAAAAGGGGGCATAACGGTTGTTACCAATGAGAAGAATGAGTTTTTTCCCACAAGAACGGTCACCAGGTGGAGAGTTTGTATGGATTATCGTAAGCTCAACAAAGTCACAAAGAAGGATCACTTTCCTCTCCCTTTTATGGATCAAATGCTCGATGACTGACCGACCATTCTTTCTATTGTTTTCTTGATGGGTACCCGGGCTACAACCAAATTCTTATTGCTCCTGAAGATCAATAGAAAACCACCTTTACATATCATTATGGTACTTTCGCTTTCAAACGGATGCCTTTTGGTTTGTGCAATGCACTGATGACTTTTCAATGGTGTATGATGGCTATTTTCACGGACATGGTGGAAGACTACCTTGAGTTCTTCATGGATGACTTCTCAATGGTTGGAGATTCTTTTGATGATTGTCTTGCAAATTTGGACAAAGTGGTTGCTAGATGTGAGGAAATTAATTTTGTGCTCAATTAGGAGAAATGTCATTTCATGGTTGAGGAAGGCATTGTACTTGTCCATAAGATCTCAAAGAATGGTATTGAAGTTGACAAGACCAGGATTGAGGTTATTTCCAAGCTTCCACCCCCACCTCGGTAAAGGGTGTGTGGCATCTCTTAGGCAATGCGGGTTTCTACCAGTGCTTCATTAAGGATTTCTCTAAAGTGGTGAACCCATTATTTAAGATCCTTGAGAAGGATGCTAAGTTTCATTTCAATGATGATTGTATGAGAGTTTTTGAACAATTGAAGCTCAAGTGGACAACTACTCCTATCATTATCTCTCCAAATTGGAGTTTGCCGTTTGAGCTCATGTGTGATGCAAGTGACGTAGTGGTTGGGGATATTTTGGGGCAACCTATCAATAAGGTTTTTATTTGGTTTACTATTCTAGTAAGACCATGAATAGTTCCCAAGTCAATTATGCCATTGTGGAAAAAGAGCTCCTTGTTATTGTGTTTGCAATTGAGATGTTCCGCTTGTACTTGATGGGTGCCAAAGTTATTGTCCACACGGATCATGCAACACTTGGCTATCTTATGAGCAAAAAAGAATCTAAAGCTCGGTTGATGAGATAGGTACTTTTGTTTCAAGAATTTGATATTGATATTCAAGACAAGATGGGTAGTAAAAATCAAGTGGCAGACCACTTGTCTCATTTGGAGGAGGATGGGAGGCCACATGACGGCCTTGAAATCAATGACTCTTTCCCCGATGAGCAACTTTTGGCACTATCGATGAAAGAGTTACCATGGTTTGCATACTTGGCAAATTTTCTTGTCAGTGGTATCATTCCAGATGAGTTCTCTTCAAACCAAAGAAATAAGCTCAAAGAGATTGTCAAGACTACTATTGGGATGAGCCATACTTATTTCGGATTTGTACTGATGGGGTAATTAGGAGGTGTGTGCCGGAAGAAGAGCGAGGTGATATTCTTGGAGCCTGTCATTCTTTTCCATATGGTGGTCATCATGGTGGAGAAAGAACGACGGCTAAAGTTCTAAGTTGTGGTTTCTATTGGCCCA